AAGCTGCGGTGAAATCACAATGTTATACCTTTTTATTTTCTGCATGCTATAATTTCGCGGCAGGATACTAAGCGAAATACAACCACAAGGTTGCTGAGATATTTGCAAAACTCTGGACCGCAGGTGTCTATGGTGCAAATATCTCAGCAACGTTGTGGTTGTATTTCGCTTAGTAACCTGCCATGAAAATTATTGAAGGCAGAAAACAAAACGTTAAACATTGTGATTTCAACTACAGCCATAGCTTAACTGGGTTCTATGCCGATTTGCGCTTCCCTGATCAACCCCGCTGACGGGTGATTGCTGTGGCAAAAGATCGATTATAAGGAGTAGTTATTAGAAAACCAGCGTCGTCCCTTACAGAGTGCGTGGAAGAAGCAGCTTTTGACCCCAGTAATTGACTGATGCTAACCTCTGATCTTTAAGATGGATCGTGGTTACTAAATAGGACGTAGAGTTAAAAGAAGTATAGCGATACGTTGAATATAAGCCGCAAAATCGCCCTGAATTATTAAAGCAATGTGTTTGTTAGTTGAATTATAATAAAAAAAAAATTCACCACATAGTAGCAATGTTACACCTGCAGAAGAATAAAGCAAAGCCTCTCTGTAACTCTGTTATGCTCTCAACCACACAAAACCTCCGAGTGTCAAAAATTTATCCCTCGCTGTCGAAAAGTCCAGCATTGTCGTGCCTAAATTGGGGGCGACACACGCTCAACATTTTCTTGACCTCGAGAAATCAATATTGGACCCACATATGTCCTACAGTAGAAGTACCAACAAAAGTCGCCGAAAATTTAAGTAATTCGCAAGTGCAGTTAATTACTCGTTCACTGTTACGACCTAGTACTATTTATTCCTTCAAAGCATTCTCAAAGCGAATGTTTCAGTTTCCGTTTGGCGGATTCCACGCCAGGGGCGAGACGGACGAGAAAAATCTCGTCGTCCTCCCAGGATATAATCTAACGAAAACTTTCGCCGTAAGAATGGAATTCTTCAACATTTATTCAAAGATCTCAAACGTCACCGAACCAGCAACAAACAAGCCAATCCAACCAACGACAGGAAAACCACTCAAAACAACAACAGGCGGGCCACTCCAACCAACGACAACGAAACCGACTCAGCCAACTGAAGGTTTCGCAGTTTTTCCATATTATTGGGGGTTTGCGTAGTAGTAAGAATGTTCAGGTTTACATTGACAGAATTTCAGACAATTGTAAGGCCAACAATGGGATGAATGATGTAATCAGAGACACCTTCTTGGCTGAGCATAATAGACTGAGGTGGTGTTTTTGATAAAAGTCATCCTTGACTACTTCAAAGAAATTTCGCATGTACTAAATTCAAAACAACATTTTCAAACTACTACAAGCTTTGAAAGTTTTATTTGGTTTTTCTTGAGATCGTTGACGGCTAAAGGCTTGGCAGAAAATCCCCTCGGTACAAACAAACATGCACCGAAAGCGGCCCGCATGTTAAAAGTGGTCAGGGAGACCCCAGATTTCTTCTTACTTCCTTCTGTAGAGACTATATTCTTATCGATTTTAATTATTAGATCTATGATTGTAAAGTCGAGGAAACAGCGGCGCAGCATGCAAAAAAATGCGAATTCAAACACAGTTCGGGAAGTGGTAATGGAGAAAACCTCTGGGTTATCTGGCCAGCAAAGACAAATTTGACCGACATGGCAACACGGGCAAGTTCAGACTTCATGAGTTGAACTCTATGTTCGAAATAAGTGTTTTTTTGTTGTAATCTACCTCAAATGCTAACTCTAATAAGCTTTGATGACAAAGATGGTAGAAGCTAGTCGAACAAAAGTTTTATACCGACCTCCTGTCAACACGATCATATAGAACTATATTGGAAAACAGTTCTCAACGATACTACCAAGTAAAAATGTACTATGTAGAATCAAAGAAAGGAATCGCTGAAAAAATAGTCAAGCAGCCCGATTTGTGCTCCCCAGATCAACCCCGTCGACGGGTGATTGCTGATAACGCCTTTAGATCAATAACACGGCATGAGAGAGATGCAAGACGAAAGACTTCCATGGTGCGGTGGTGAACGCATTAGCCCCCGGAAAGGTTGTTAGTGTGTTCGATCCCCATTGTTTTAGTTGCTTTTGGCTACAAATGCACTTTACCTCTGTGTATTTCGCTAAAAACAGCCAATTTATAATTTGTCAGTGCTAACTTCACCGCTTATTAGAATCGAGATGATACAAGTTACCGTTGTTGACTAGTTGACCCTTTCAAATCTTTTGTCCCGTGTCTGTACTTTGTTGGTTGATTAGCGACAAGGACACAACTAACAAGACGAGTTCCATTGCTAAGTGTCTGCTGCTATTCGGCGACTTAGGCCTCTTCAAAGTCTGTTAAGGAAAGCCTATCTGCTATTCTCCCAGACAAGTCTGGTAGCAATTTGCCGACCCCGGAGGGATGGAGGGCTTGGTGTTGAGCCTGGGGCGCGGAGATCGATCCCATGTGTATCGCAACGCCCCTCCGGCCACTGCGCTACACGTACCCCTCTTCGCACTTTTAGATTCCGTTAAATAATATTCGAACTTAAGCCATCGTTAAAATCTGTCTTGTTTGATATCCAGAAGGAATACCGACTTTTATGGTCACCAACAACATTGCACTCGCCGAGGAGAGTGGAGCAATAGAAAGTGGAAAACTTTACACTTTTAGAACTGCCGAAAATTAATTATGCAATATAAATTAATTATACAATATTGCGAAATTCGGAGCATTTAGAGGTATTGCTTGCGTGGTTCGGTCCACTGAGGTATAAACGCTGCTGATTCTGATGCGCCGTGATGCGATATATTAAATTCTAAACAGTTTAGACACTCATGAATTCTAGAATTGTTTTTACTCTTCTTAGAACCGCTGAAAATTAATTATGCAGTATAAATTAATTATACAATATTGCGATATTCCGAGGATTTTGAGGTATTGCTGGCGTGGTTGCCTATCGGATCAGAAACTTGCAATCAAGTAATTGCTAAGCATGTAGAAAACAACCTCGCGATTGCTGTAAAAGGGGGAACAACAGATTTATATCAACATCGTTGTTCTTGCATTTCAAATAATACTCTGTCGAAAAAATTGCTCTCTAAAAAGCTTTTGGGGTTGTTCAATCCCTGAGGGATGCGCTATGCATTCGACTTCATTAAGCATTGTTTCGAGGTGATTGAATAAATATCTGGTCTTTACAATGACTTGCGGCGTCCTACCGATGTATCAAACAGGTGCTACTATCCTCCCAGACAAGTTTGGTACCAATTTGCGACCCCGGGGAGATGGAAGGCTTTGTGTACCATAGGTGCAGTGATCGATCCCACGTGTGTGTTGCAGAGCCCCCGACTACTGTGCCACACGCGTTCAATAAAAATTGCAGCAAACAGTAAATAAAAAAGTCAAAATGATCTCAGTATCACTACTGTGGTGCCTTACTCCTGCTATAATTCAAGTCTATTAAGTTAGTCTATTAAGTTCGGGGCTATTAAGGCAAGTATTTGAGATATTCAGTTGTTAGGGTCTTCAGAAGCCCATGTTTCATCTCATTTCCAATAGCAGTGGTTTACAGGATTCAAATGATTAGCTTCGACTAAAAGAAGATGTCATATGAAATTTTGTAGATCTTGAATTAATAGCGAAGTCTATGGTGAGATTACTTGCATTAAACGAATTCCACTCAGTAAATGATAGCACGTCAGCCTACTACATTGAAGTGCACAACTAAATCCTCTTTCAGCTTCTGATCCTTTTCAGTCTTCCTAATGAAAGGAACTGTAGAAATCTTTCGGTAGCAAAGTTCTCGTGAGACTACTTATATAAAGTTACCAAAGCATATAAGGGAAAAAGTGTTACTCTTTATTATTTCGCTCACAAACATTCACAACAACAGTTGCTATAAGGCTAGTTCGGCTTGATGCAGAGCGCTTCGTCTTGGCTACATTTGCATCCATCGCATTTGCAATCTCCGTCGGATTTACACAGATCTCCGATGGTGTAAATTGTACCTCCAATGTAGTTGCCACTAAAATATTCCATTTAGGCACTTTTTTTTAACAATACAACTTGAAAATATAACTTACGGCGGTGAGTACTGACAAACGACAAGTGTCTTGTCGGGACACACTGCAACACCACAGCCAAGTTTGTATGAGCCTTCCCACACCATCTTTGAAATTAGTGGTTACAGTGATTTGATGACATCAACATACAGCTTGAATGTACTCACTTGAGTATAATGACCGATGGCCATCTTTGGACGAATCCAAAGCTCACTTGTGAGCTTGTTATCTGGTGGCACTCCGTATTTTACTAATTCATCGAACCACGAATTGCTGGCCTTAAAGAAAATGAAACGTTAAGAATTTTTAGACTTAGCTCGTATTTCTGTTGAGCAAACAAAGCTTACTTACAAAGCCAGTTTCGTTTCTATGTTTCGGTGTTTCCTTCTTGAGAACAGACGAAGTTGTTAACAAGATTTATTTAGCACTGAATTCGTGCTTGGAGTTCTTTCGTATTAACAGAACTGAGTGTAGCTGGACATATGCTTCGTTAAATATGGAAGTCATTAGAGTGTCGAGCTTGTTCTCATTTGATTCCTGGGTACTTTCTGCTGACGTTCTTTCCTCCTACAACTTATTACAGAAACAACTAGTCATCTTCGAATATTTTTCTATTCACCATTTTAATGTCAGGGTAGATCCCACTTGCTAATCTGCGTTGGTTAGAAAGTGCGTCAACTTATGTCGTAGGCGAGGGAAGATTTTGTTGCTGTGGTGGGTTAGAAGAGGTGGCAGCTTCGATATTTCGCTCACCAACAGTAAGAGGTTGCGTATACTGGGCAGTGGATGCTTACAATGGCCTTCGATAAGGAGGTATTGCGAGAACAAACTGTGGGGATTGCAGGTGATAAATATGGACGTGCTTGTAGCAAACATGATGACGTTTTCCTTAACTCTGCCTCGATGCATATTTTTGTTGTGTTTGCTGAAAGGTCTTTTCTGCCCCTTACTCACTAGGTCAAACGCTTAAACAACGCAAACAGAAAAACGAAAGTCTAAACAATAATTACATGATCACCGGCTTCTCGAACAACCCACCGTTTTTTAATGTAAGCCTAGTAAATTACGTATCAATGTACCCTTCCAGGCTCTGAAGAAGGCGATACTGCCGAAACGTTAGCTACCGTTGTGTTGCGTGTGTTACATTTGTGAGGAAGTAAACGTGTGCTGAATAACAACCTCGCCGTTTCTGTAAAAAGAGAACAATAGATTTATAATCCAATACTGAGGTTAATAGAAAGTCGATCTTGGGAACTCTTAAAAGAAGATGTTGATATATTTACAAATCTCCAAAACGCAGGTGTTTGCTGTGGGGATGAACACGCTATTACTCCTTCTGAGAGCTAACGTGTTCACCATCACACCATGCGAGTCCGTTGTTTCGTCTTTATCTCGGCTAGTTTTCTATCTAGCAGTATCATCAGCAATCGTCTGTCAACAGTCATCTCACAAAATTGACAATAACAATCAGCATCATTGTGGATGCTGAAATGTTTGCAAAACTTGAAGCCCAATCAAGATTCAAACCCCCGACTACCCTTTCCCGGGTTCAAGTGTTACTCCGTGCACCACTGAGGGCCTTTCTTTCAGTAACTCCCATGACCTACTTTCTATTAACCTCGGTATTTCTTTCACTTTTTCTCGGCCAGCTTTTTAGCATAAGTGTGCCATCAGCAATCTCCGTCAACGAAAATAACCTTGGAGCGCGAATCGACTTGAACCAAATTAAGCTGAGGCATCAGCCAAGATCAAAATGTAAAGCTTTTATTTAGCTCCTATTATTTCTTTCATGACAAGGTATTACGTGCGTAGTGCTACAATGATGCTGAGATGTTCGCAAAACATGGGCGCTAGGCTAGATTCGAAAACAAATTGGCCGAGAGAAAGGCAAAGCGGGAGTCTCAGCAATGCAGTGGTTAACACATGAGCCGTCGAAGAAAGTAGACGCGTTTCGAGCTAATCTGGTCTGGGGTCTAAGTTTTGCAAATATCTCAGCATTAATGTGGTTGTATCCCATTAATACTTTGAAGAACTTGAAAGACATAGCAGGCAGTAAATAAAAACTAAACATTGTAAAACTCGAGCTCTTTACAACAGCGAAGTCGACCAAAATGACAGGCGCCAGATAACTTCGACAGCATTATGATTTTCTAAGACTAATTGATAGAGAGGGACTCCACTCTCTGCGAAGACCTGCATTGCAATCGACAATTGCTGTAGTGCAAAGGACACTACTAGACTCAAACTACCGTCACCCTAAAAAAGGCAAAATCTCCGAAGCATTAACCACAATAGAAATTTATGTAACAATATAGTATATCACAATGCTAACCTTTTATTTGCTGCCAATTATAGTTTTCATGGCAGGGTATACATGAATAGGTAAGTATTCGACAACTCATTACCGTCAAATTTGAGAGTTGCCTTGAAATTCTCGATAGCAAAACCCGATTACCAAATTCAGCTACAAAAGTTAAGAGGGCTTGCTGTAATTTCAGTCGATGTCAACTTACGTGCTTCTTATTCTACTAAAGCACGTTCAAATTTTTCATATCAGAAGTCTGGCAATGGCAATGAAAAGAAAAATCGAGTAGGTGGAATTTTGATAAAAGAGTTTTCTACTGTACTTGATTGTTGCTGAAATTATTATAAGAAATGGAAGGACCAATATACCCAAAGAAGAACTCTGGTACACAACAGGAAAGCCGTCGTGGTTACGGTAGGAGATTTGACTCTGTATATCTATTTTTTTTCTTGTTTCTTTCTTGAAATTTCTGTTTAGCCCTCACTACCTAAGCACTTAAGATAACTGTTGGCTATATTGTACGCAAAAATCGTCAATGTTGTCACGGATCCAAAAAGATGTCTTTATGTGGACCTCACACAAGACGATTTTTGCGATAGTCCTGCTTCTATACCAACAGCTTTGTTAAGCACATTTATTTAGTGACAGCACTCCCTCCTAACCCTTTCTACATATTTTATTATATTTGCTCTTCTTTTCTACTTCACGTCAAAAAGTACTATTTCTTCCTGCAGATGGTCTGCTTCTTTATTCACAGGCTTCAAACTTTTTCCGTTTCAGCGAAATTCCTGAGAAAAGTTTCAGCTACGGGTTTTCCATTGGACAAATAATATCTCTATGTTCTACGCTGTTCCTTTCGATATTGTGGAATAGTGTGCCCATAAAATATCGTCCTAGTATTTTACGACCTATAAAATCCTCTGTTTTGGCCGCTAAACATTGAACAAATTTGGCTACAACGGTAGGGAAACCTATATGTTCACTTCATAGTGGTGAAACTTTAAAGCTTATAATACTTCTAACAGCAGCCTTTATACCGACGTCACTGTGAAAACAATAAGGGTGACTGTAGCCCTTTCACTGGATTCTATTGGTTTTCTCATGCAAGCACTACTACGCGACTCCTAACCGCCTCCCATATAGTTCCCTCTCACTTGATTGCAGGTTTTTGGCCGAATTGACTCGTAGCATACACTCAGCATAAACTAGAACGCACCCACACACACCTGTATAAATATGCCTCGTAAATACAGAAACTATGGTCTAAATCGGCGTAGCAGAATCAGGGGCCCTTCCCCTGGATCCACCTGCGTCTCAGGGAAGCAATGGTCGCTTTTGGTCCGCGATTAACCCCCTTCCCGCATCCGTGGGACACACCGCGGTTCCTCGCGACTCACCGGCTCGAGATCCCTCATATGAGGGAGATCCGTGGTCGAAAAAGCAGATATGCAGATATATCGATTATTCTGGACACTATGGATCGCAGCTGATATCAGAGCAACTTATTATTCCTTGCCTCAACTCAACCTTCTTAAGGCGTTTTTAGGTTTTTACAACAATCAATAGCTAGTTCCTATTGAATTGAGGACGTCTTTGTTCCAATAGCACCTTTTTAGATTCCTTATCGAGCAACTGATTTTGAACCGATGTACGAAGTGCAGTATGAATAAGAAATTGTAGAAATTAAATGTCGAGCAGCTGCTCGATGGCGTTGTAAGGTACCAAATCAATGAGCAAACTAGTGTGTATGAAGGAGATAAAGCTTTCAGATGAAGTCGTCGTTCATAAAAATTGGTTGGAATGAAAGACGATTACAACCAAGTAACAATTTGTGTTTGTGTAATCTCGGCCGCCGTTAGTTCTTGCGAAAGACGGTCTTCTTTATCGAATCGAGTTGAATATATTTTGGAGTGAGGAGCACTGGCAGCGCAGTACAAGTTCCTGCAAACCTCATTTTACAGTGCAATTCGTTTTTTGCAAGACTCATCCTTTAAGGATCTCAACGATTCTGGCATTCGATTGGTCTCCTCACCTGTATCATCCACGAAAGTCTACCAACATTTTAAGTGCGGTTTCAGGTGCGGTTTGAGGATTTTTCTTTCATCATGAACGTCGTTGAATGCTCGTTGAGTCAACTCTCCCCGAGATAATGGAAAAGGCGGGTTGGAGCGTTCCCACTTGTGCTACAGGAAGCTAACTTTTCTCGGACAAGTGCCGTAGCAACTTCTCGACCTCGGAGGGATAAGAGGCTCGTTGAGCCTGTACCGGCCTAAAACAAAATAGTGCAAATTTTTATCATTCAAAAAATAACTATTCTGTACGAAAAGTCACTGCTCAGTGAGGTTCTTTATGCGAGCGGGGTTCTCCTCCAGATTTCATTCAGTGCAACAACGAACATATATATGACTAGGACGAGTAGCCGTTGAAAACTGACTCGAATCATCGTGGCTCCGAAAAAGGCGAAACAACTGAAACATTAGTAACTCCCAAGTCCGGCTTTCTATTAACCTCGGCATTGATTGCATATATCTTTCTACTTCTGTTCAGCAAACACGAGGTGCTATTTTATTTCTTTATTTACGCACAAGCTGACGTTTCGGCGGATTTCGCCTCCCTCAGAGCCGCTTTCTATGAGTCTTCCACTGAGTATATCGCGTGAAGACCGACTGCACAGAATTCACATGAAATATTAGCCTAATAAAAGTTTTACAACGACATTTTGTTAGCTTATACTAAATATTATTGGCCTATCTCAACCAAGTTAGGGCATTTAAAAAAAACTTAAAGGTCAAAAAATCTCTATAAAGGTGGACAAAACGACAATTTTGCGCCACAACAACGCCTTGTCATACTTCGCACAACCGATGTTGCGAAGGCTGAAGGAGCTACGTTAAGGTATTTTACCTCATTCGCCGTATCCTCTTAATCTCTCCTTTGTCGCGATGAATTCCTGTGCGATAATGCTTTGGAAACCTAACTGAGGCCAAACTAGTTTTCAGCGACTTCTCAAGCACCGGAGCTACTGTTTTTTAGGGAAAAAAATGAAAAAATTCTCACCTACAAAAAAAGTGTAGATTCTAAAAATTTTTTTTCAAACAGCAAAGTTTATTTCGAGCTAGATTATGCATATCTAAAGGTAGATTTCTTAATCCTGATTTGTGTAAGAAAAAATAACGTTAATATCGCAAATATTTATTGTACATTGAACGGCGGTTTTTGTCTTCTGCTGACCTACCAAGTGGCATTCGTAGATGCTGAAGAGTAGACATAAAAGCTGATCATTGAAGCCGCTTATTCAAGTAATAAAACAAAAACGA